AGGTGCTGTGGCTTGGTCTGTGCATATGTGTTTTGTGTGTGTGTATTTGTATATACGTGGTTTTGTGCATGCATTGTAATTATTTTATTTATTTTTTGGCATTTTAAGTCTCTTTTGCTGTGTTTTCAGTGTTTCTATGAGTGATGGTCACACGTTGGCCTGATAGGTATATTGTGTCCAAATTTGGTGCCAATTCGTCCAGTGGTTTTTGAGTTATGTTAATCCCACAAACGAACATTACATTTTTATTTATATAGATAAGACTCTACCATGCTCCAAGGCAGTGTATTCCACTGTTGAACGGCTCTTACTGACAGGACATTCTTCCTAATGTTTTGATGGAATCTTCTTTCCTGCCATTGGAATCCATTGCTCCATTGTGTCCTACTTTCCAGAGCAGAGATTCTCAAACTAAGGCCCGGGGGACGGATGCGGCCCTCCAAGGTCATTTACCCGGCCCTCGCTCAGGGTCAACCTAAGTATGAAATGACTTGAAAGTACAAAACAACAACGACAACAATCCTATCTCATGAGCCAAAAGCAGGCCCACACTTCCCAATTAGATACTAATAAGTTTATATTTGTTAAATTGTTCTTCATTTTAATTATTGTATTGTTTTTAAGTGATTTTTGCACTACAAATAAGATATGTGGCATGCATAGGGATTCATTCATGTTTTTTTCAAATTATAATCCGGCCCTCCAACAGTTTGAGGAACTGTGACCTGGCCCTCTGTTGTGGACCCCTGTTCCAGAGCATCATTACACAAACTTGTCCCCTTCCTCTATGTGACATACGTTGGGTGCCAAACTCCATGCTTATGTTCTTCAACTCATTATGTGGTTTAAACCCTTGTGCCGGCAGAACTGAAGACCAACAGGTCTGGGGAGAGCGAGGATGAGCTCCCTCTGTCAGCTCCAGCTCCCCATGTGGGGACATGAGAGATGCCTCCCATAAGGATGGCAAAACATCAAAATATCCAATCATCCCCAGGGCAATATCTTTGCAGACAGCCAATTCTCTCACACCAGAAGCGACTTGCAGCTTCTCAAGTCGCTGACACGGAAATAAAAAAAAAACTACGTACTACTACTACTATTACTCCATAAACCAAAAGCCATCAAAACCAACAAGAAACCTCAGCATCCTCTTCTCTCTCTCAAAAAAGCCCACAAACGATCCCATTTATATTGTATACAAAACATGTGGCTCTTGAGGCGAATGGGAGTCGAATGGGAGTTGTCTCCCCACCGCCATCCCTTTTCTCCCCTCTCCCCATCTTCCCCCAATAAACTGGTCCTCATTCATCTGACAGGATCCAGGCAGCCTTGCTGTTTCCATGGCAACGTTGCCATGGAAACTGCAGAGTCCATTCTCTCCTCCTCCCCATCATCACCCTCCTTCCTTCACAACCACAGACTTTCCTCAGGGCAACAAAAACCATTCGGGGGAGACTCAAGAAACTGGACGAGGGGTGGAGGGCAGAAGCTTTACATATCTTCCACATATTACGGGGCACGCTATTTGGCTTCATAACGTATCAAAGCTAATCCCAATCCCTTTGTTTTCTGTCGCTAGGAGCGAACCAGATCCATCGTCCCTTTCACACCTCGTATGTCCTATTAGACTCTGCTCCAATTCCTTCCTTCTGTCCACCTGCCTCCCCCCTTCTGTCACACCTGTCCATCACAGATTACCTGGAGTGCCCCCAGATAACCTCCTCCGGTGACAGCTCCCTCCTCTTACTGTGTATGATTCCCCTTCCAGACACTTGTGAGTGGGATCAGCTTCTGCCTCGGATTTTGTCTGTGGCTGCCACTTCGTTGGAAATGGATAGAGGAGAGACTGATGTTTCCATGAGTTATGATGATATAGAGCAGGTATGGCCGAAGTTGGGTCCTCCAGGTATTTTGGACTTCAACTCCCACCATTCCTAACACCTCAGGCCCCTTCCTTTTCTCCCTCAGCCGCTTAAGCGGCTGAGGGGGAAAAGGAAAGGGCCTGAGGTGTTAGGAATGGTGAGAGTTGAAGTCCAAAACACCTGGAGGACCCAACTTGGGAATGGTGGGAGTTGGAGTCCAAAACACCTGGAGACATCACTACACATTGGACTTTATGAATCAAAATAAGAAGAGTCTCAACTCCAGTGTTGTCCCTCACACAACCCCCATTTTCATGCACGTGTGTTGCTGTTCACCTAGGCATAACTCAGGGTACAGGTAGTCCCCAAGTTACAAACAAGTTGAATTTGTATCTAAATTCATACATTTTTTAAGTGTCATTCCAGCCAAAGACATATATAATTTTAGGTTTGGATAGCATAGGGAAAGGTTAACACCCTTGTGACCTTTGCTTTGGTATTTATGCCTCTGTTCAGAAGATTTCACCTCACTTTCTGTCCCTGGATTTTGAAAAATTTGGCTTTTTTGTGGAAATAAGGATTGGTGGTAAAGCTTCAGAGGAGACATCTTTTGATAGAGCATGTAAAGAAATCAGTTAGTGTGTGAGAACTGTAAAATAAGATGCATGAAGCCTGTGCCTGGGGTGATGGCTGAGCCTGGGACTTTTGGATACTGTTGCATTTTTCAGGCTTGAACTATGCAGGTGCTCAGAGAGAAGCAGAGTGAAGCAGAGAGAGACAGAGTTTGGAGTGTGCTCTTATTTCATGAGCTGTTGAAGAAGTTTTTCCACATGGACAAAGAAAGACAATTTTAAATCTCTCACAAAAGGACATTATGTGAGTCCATGGAACTGATCACATGATTGTGAATAAGTTGTTCTGAAACTACGAAAAGTAAACTGCTTGTTTTTTATTGTTCATCTATGTCGCATCTTTTCTTTCTCTGGTAAGGCAATGTGTGGGCTGATCAAACGTGAACTGCACATCATTTTCATTTCGTCACATCTTTTCCCTATGATCACTCTTTCCAGAGTGAATTTCCCTTCTGAGGGGTAGATTTCTCTCCCTTTCTGTTGTCTCACCCCCGTTCTTAACCATGAGTCATTTGTAAATTGGCTGTTTGTAACTTGGTCTCTGCCACTATACACTTAAGAAGCATGTGCTCACTCCCAGCATAACTCCATGTGTACGCAAGGACTTCATACACATATGGCTCTCTTTTCCTGTGCATTAGATGACAAGCACACATGACAATCTCTTTTCCTGATGTATGTGTTAGTGCAGTCTAGGTCATGCTCACAATCTGTGTGTGTTTGTGTGGGTTCATGGTTATCTTTGGTCACACGCAAACACAGACTTGTTAGTACACATGCATGCACAAAACCCTCCCTTTTCAAACCAATACACACACATATATATATATATATATTCATGTCAGGAGCAACTTGAGAAACTGCAAGTCGCTTCTGGTGTGAGAGAACTGGTCATTTGCAAGGATGCCCAGGGGAGTTTTTGATGTTTTACCATCCTTGTGGGAGGCTTCTCTCATGTCCCCACATGGGGAGCTGGAGCTGACAGGGGGAGCTCATCCACGCTCTCTCTGGATTCGAACCTCTGACCTGTCGGTCTTCAGTCCTGCCAGCATAAGGGTTTAACCCATTACGCCACTGGGGGCTCCATGTGTATGTATGTGTGTGTGTGTGTGTGTGTGTGTGTGTGTGTGTGTGTGTATATATATATATATATATATACACACACACACACACACACATATATATATACATACACACACACACACACACATACACACGCACATGTACTGACACTAAGAAATAAGAGCCCAATGCACCTGTTTCTTCTTGTTGGATCAGCTCCTCTGCTAAAATTCAAGCACTAGTGCAGTGCGGCAGCCCTCAGGGAGTCGGGGAAAGGGGGAGGGAGTGGTGAAGTGCTGTGGTTAATTTATGCCGGCTTTGCCAGCCGGTGAAATATCAGAACAGTCAGCTTATATCATCTTCATTCAGTGTGTGTGCGTGTGTGTAAAAGAGATTAGGACCGGGAGAGAGGAAGACGCAAGTAATCCTCATGTGTAAATGTGACAGGAAGCAATCTTTTAAAAGCTGTTAATCTCAACCAAAGAGATGTGTCCCAAAGGAACACAAACACAGCCAAGTAATATATTCCCAACCTGCCCAAACCCTGCAACTGAAACGACCACAGACCCAAAGCTGAAAGAGACATAATGCACAACCTGTGATTCGATATGCACCCACAAAGGGTCTGTCACATGCCGAGAACTGCAGCAGCAGTCACACACACACACACCAAGAAAAGCACACAGAGGTGCAACACACAACAGTCTCCAACACATAGCAAACAATCCACCAGGATTTAAAAAAGGCATCTATATCAATGCAATCGTCAATGCAAGCTCAGGCATTCACACACACATTCGAGAAAATCCAGAAGAATTCGCAAAGGGACTGAAAGCATTGTCATATATAATTAAATATATTCTAGGCGCAACTAAAAATCAGCTGTACAGTGATCAACTCATCTCACACACGCATCAGGGGGCCACTTTCCTCCCAAACCATCCCAAAGAGCAAAGCCACATCTGATCTGAATTCCAACACAACCCTTCCATCTGAGACTCACACTGGGGTGCGCTTGCACCAGAATAACTGTGTTGCACAACCCTAGCCAACCCCTTTTGCAGCAGAGAGTGGTTAACCCTTCTCCCACACCCCCAAAGTAATGATGGCCAAGGGGTTTGATTTGGTTATCACAGCGGGGTATAGACATGACATGTATAACCTCAGAGGCAAAAATGTACACTTTGAAACAGACATATAGAGTGCACTCCCGAGTCTTTGAAGAAAGCATGTTCTCATGATTTGGGTACATTACATATACACATAGCTGTATCCGTTAAAATATAGTTTCCTTACCCAACAACCAACAACAACCCCCCTCTCCCAGCAGTATTTGCCATTATCTACTTTCTTGAACCACCTTAGCCTCATTTGACACACTCAGCTCTGGCTCCTATAGGCACACAGTCTGTCCTATAGTCCCGTACACAAATCTCACACTTACCTTGATCAGTTTTTTTACAAATCCCAAACAAAATATTTCCTCGGTTGCTGTTGATCCTTTCCTGCTGCAGCCGGTCAGCAACAAAAGCTATTGTTTAAAGGGGGAGTGCTTGAAACTCCTCCACACCTTCAGTAAGGAAATATTTAATTTTTTCTGATAGAAAAAAATCCCACCTCAAAAGTGGGTACTTCCTATTAAAAAATAGAATTCCACTCTGGGAAAGGCAAGGCAACACATGAATTAGACATGATGCTTGAAGTATTCCATTGGCTGCTAGGCAAGCAGAGGGCTGTTCCGATTGGTGCAGGGAAGGCGATGGATGGATGGATAACTACAGCCCCTCACCCAAACCTGTGCCCCCCTTCCTTCAAACCGCTTCCAAGTCCCAAAGGAGTGAAAAGGGTGAGTGGGAAGAGCTTTCATTAACAAAAAGAATGCCTCTCCAGCAAAGGATGGGGCCAAAAGAGTGGGATGCAGGAGCATGGGATTGGACAGGGAAGGCTGTCAATCAGGAAGGAGAATTCATCTACCTTTCTGGCCATCCTTCTCCATCTCCCTTTCTCTTTACTTTCTTCTTTGAGGGAAAGAGTAGACGAAAGTTTGTCTTGCTGTCCCATTCGACTTCATCCTATAATATGCATTCTAGGAATCCTAGAAATATTGATTCCTTGGGACTATGCACATTGTTCCAATACTGCAAGCTGGATCAGCTGCTCCAGTACATTGTATTCTTGTAAACACAGAGAGACAATAATGGAATTATCTGTGTGATAATTTCATCTTTTTGGTGGCTGCTTAAGCAGCAAGAAAGCAGCAAGAAAAAGTACAACGTGGCAAAATTGTGGGGAAGAAAAAAAATAGATTTTGGCGATAAAGGTCCTCCCACCTGCTTCTCAGTTTCCAAAATCTGAGCAATGTAAGAAGAATTCGTATTGTTGTTGTTGTTGTTTATTCATTCAGTCACTTCCGAACTCTTCAAGACCTCATGGACCAACCCATGCCAGAGCTCCCTGTCGGCTGTGGCCATCCCCAGCTCCTTCAAAGTCAAGTCACTTTAAGGATACCATCCATCCATCCATCTTGCCCTTGTTTGGCCCCTCTTCCTTTTTCCTTCCATTTTCCCCAGCATCATTATCTTCTCCAAGCTTTCCTGTCTTCTCATGATGTGGCCGAAGTACTTCCTCTTTGCCTCTAAGATTCATAGAATCATAGAATCAAAGAGTTGGAAGAGACCTCATGGGCCATCCAGTCCAACCCCCTGCCAAGAAGCAGGAATATTGCATTCTAATCACCCCTGACAGATGGCCATCCAGCCTCTGTTTAATAGCTTTCAAAGAAGGAGCTTCCACCACACTCTGGGGCAGAGAGTTCCACTGCTGAATGGTTCTCACATACAGGAAGTTCTTCTTCATGTTCAGATGGAATCTCCTTTCTTGTAGTTTGAAGCCATTGTTCCGCGTCCTAGTCTCCAAGGAAGCAGAAAACAAGCTTGCTCTCTCCTCCCTGTGGCTTCCTCTCACATATTTATACATGACTATCATATCTCCTCTCAGCCTTCTCTTCTTCAGGCTAAACATGCCCAGTTCCTTAAGCCACTCCTCATAGGGCTTTTTTTTGCTGCCACATCACATTGTTGGCTCATGTTTAACTTGTTGTCCACAAGGACTCAAAGATCTTTTTCACACATACTGCTCTCAAGCCAGGCGCCCCCCATTCTGTATCTTTGCATTTCGTTGCATTCTTCCCTCCAGTGAGCAGCCAGGCTTAATTTCTCAGAGTATGTACTGGTTTGATCTTCTTACAATCCAAGGCACGCTCAGAATTTTCCTCCAGCACCACAGTTCATCTTTGCCTCTAATATCCTTCCCACCAGTTAATTTTGCATTGGTTTGTATTAATTGATTTGTATTAATTGGTTGGCACTGTTGGGAATCAGAGCTGTTAGGCTCAAAAAATAACCCTCACTTGGGGTGATTCCATCTAAAATATAGCAAAATGCTAGAAGCAGATTTCATAACCAGTGGAAACTTACATGAGGTGAGCCAGGATAACTTTCCATTCAACAGGATAGAACAGGATTACAGTGACAGAACTTTAGGTTCAAAATATTTATTCAAGAAAAGAAATCAATTCTAGATAGAAAAGGGTCTTGGAGCTAACTAGCTTACTAAGCTCATCTTCTAAGGAAGATAAAAAGTCAAAATATCAATGCAGCTACATTTTGCCTGGAGAATGGCAAAATGCGTCCTTACTGGAAGGGAGACAAAGGCAGTGAGAGAGCAATGGAGAATGACCACATGGCCAAAAACCCAGGGCAGTAAAAATACCTTTAAAGAAGAAGTTACCTCATCCCTTACGGAGATTACATTGGTACATCTTCAAAGGGAGGAGGAGATAGTGGCAAGCAAGAAAAGTAAGACAAAGGCCCTTCTGGGGAAAGCATGCATAGGAATGTGGGGAAAGGAATCCCTCACATTAAATGTATATCTAAGTCTAGCTACTCAATGAGGACTGGGGACTTGTGCAGTCCAGGCATGAAACCCAACAGACACTTACTTTAATTTCAATTTGGCACTAGGTTACAGCTTTAAAACACACATACATACAATAAAATGAGGTTGTTAATCTAATCTGCATGACTGCCATCACAGATTGCTGTTATGCTACTTTATCTTTTCTGGATTTTTCCTTAGATGTTGTTTGCTTTTTTACTTTGCTGCAGCCAGCTTGCCTGCCAGCTTATGTAAAGAGGTTTCATTTTTTACTTGCTACTGAGAGAGATGCACTCTGTACATGCTCAATGATATCATCATTTTCATGATTATGGCACAAACAAGTTTACAGACTAAGCACTGTGAGAAGCCCTGAGTACCAGGCCAAAGAGAAGCACCGGGAATGCAGCAATAGAGAAATATCACTTCACTGTAAATCTGTGGAGCCCCTGGTGATGCATGGGTTAAACCCTTGTGCCGGCAGGACTACTGAACAAAAGGTCGTTGGTTCGTATCCGGGGAGCAGGGTGAGCTCCCGTCTGTCAGCTCCAATTTCTCATGCAGGGGCATGAGAGAAGCCTCCCACAGGATGGTAAAGCATCCAGGAGTCCCCTGGGCAACGTCCTTGCAGACGGCCAATTCTCTCACACCAGAAGCAACTTGCAGTTTCTCAAGTCACTCCTGACATGAAAAAAAAACTGTAAATCTGTAGCCCATGTTTGTGAAAACAGGGTGTATGAATCTGCCAGGAGCTCAACTGGCTAGAAATTATTGTCCAGGGCAGTGCTGCCAAGTTCAGAGGCTCAAAGTACCAGGAGTCTTTTTAAAAATCCTTACAATTATGTCATCTACTGTTTCCCCCATGGCTTCTCTGTTCCCTCTGAGTTTAGCCACAATGCACACAGCAAGTGAGTGTGGGTTGTTGAAATGCATTTCCCCAGCAACAATATTTGCTGTGAGCCATCCGCTGTTATAGCCCAAGATATTTTGGAAATGGGCAATTAAGACTCATTGGCTTTACAAAAGACCTGTTTTCTGTGAATATGCAGAGAGCCAGATTTCATTTTCTAATGTGAGTCAAGAGAGATGCCTACATATATTTTTTTTGGACTCCCTCGGCTGAACTGCCAACATGCCTGTTCCCTCATCAGCCCTCAATTCATTTTCGTGTACATTTATATTGTCTGGATTGGAGTGTGATTTTGATGTGTTGCCAGCCTGACTGGACAGGGTAAGAAATCAGATTCTGTATTTTTTAAATATTTTATTTTTGGTGATGGGGATTACAGCACTGGCATAATACATCAGTTGATGCTTGAAAACCTCGACTGAAATCCTGTATCAGCTTATACTTAGCTTCATAGTAAACTAAAGAATATCTCCTGGCTCAACCCTCCCAAACCAGATGGAAACATCATTCAACCATGCTCTGATCGTTGGCAGAATCACCTTCCTTCTCCCCATGCAGCTGATGCCCTATACAGTAGGTTGGGAGATCATGGCAATTGTATCAAAATCATGATTAACTATCAAGACGGTATGGTGTAATGGTTTGAGCACTGAATTACAACTCATGACCAAGGTCGAATAATTGCTTGCATGTGACCTTGGATAAGTTGCACGCAAAAACAAAAAAAACATGTTAGGATCACTTTAGTGTTGCAATAAATCAGAAATGTCTTGAAGGTATAACAAAATAAGCAACTGTGAATAAGAAAGTTATAGTTGGAGCTGTTTAATTATGGAATAAAAATTTTAATAAACAATATTATGGCAACCAGACTGATTGATAACTAGCAAATAGAGGGAGAAATGTGAAAGTAGTGACGGACTTTGTATTTCTAGGTGCAAAGATTACTGCAGGCGCAGACTGCAGCCAGGAAATCAGAAGATGTTTACTTCTTGGGAGGAGAGCAATGACCAAGCTCAATAAAATAGTGAAGAGTTTAGAAATCATACTGGCAACGAAGATCCTCATAGTCAAAGCAATGATATTCCCCGTAGTAACCTGTGGATGTGAGAGCTGGATCATAAGGAAGGTTGAGTGAAGGAAGATAGACGCTTTTGAACTGTGGTGTTGGAGAAAAATTCTGAGAGTGCCTTGGACCACAAGAAGATCCAACCAGTCCATACTCCAGGAAATAACACCCGACTGCTCACTGGAGGGAAGGATATTAGAGGCAAAGATGAAGTACTTTGGCCACATCATGAGGAGACAGGAAAGCTTGGAGAAGACAATGATGCTGTGAAAATGGAAGGAAAAAGGAAGAGGGGCTGACCAAGGACAAGATGGATGGATGGCATCCTTGAAGTGACTGGCTTGACCTTGAAGGAACCGGGGTGGCCATGGCCGACAGGGAGCTCTGGCGTGGGCTGGTCCATAAAGCCACAAAGAGTCAGAAGTGACTGAACGAATAAACAACAACAACTCCCTTAGAGAGTGGTGGCTTTTTTCTAGCAGTGCTTTAGATGTATATTTCTAGGTGGCATATTTCTAGGTGACTAGATGCCTTTATAGTCCTTAACAATTCTATGACTCTAACAGAACACTCACTAAATCTTAACATTTGCCATCCTGAGCTATCCATATTGCTGGAGGTCGTCTCCAAAGGAGTGGTACATGTGTTCAGGAGACAATAAACCACCCCTTACCAAGGTTTCTGATCTCAATGGAATACTGCAACTGCAGGAACACTCCACTGATAGCATTTTAAGGCAAATGCCACCGGATTTCTATTTTGGAAGCTAGAGCTTGACTTTATGGTCATTATTGTACTCATCATTAGGTTTAAGAGCTAAATTATCACTCAACTCTAACCTGCAAATGAACCTAAAAGGTAGAATAACTTCAAAGAGGTCAAGTCCCCTTTGGAGATTTTCATTGGCAATATGTATAGATTGGGATAGAGTGTGATTGGGATAGATT